TACCATAGGTTGAAAATTCGGTAAAACGGTCATACCTTTGAATCAACAGCTCCTAAGGGCGAACACTTCAATGGTTTTCTTAGTTTCACTGTGGCCAACCTATAGCCAAAATATGAAGCCAAAATCTCGGAAATAGTTCGAATGGTTCCCTCGTAAGTTAACCGACATTTACATGGAAGTATAATTCGATTTTTGTTGCCCAACATGCATCGTTCGACACTACATTTAGCAAGCGCGCAAAAGTTTTGAGGTATACAAATATAAGTATGAGGGTCCAGTCATAAGAGTATATAGATAAGAGTACAGATGTAAGGATATAGTTATGCGGATGTCAGGTAAGAGTATAGGCGTAAATGGATAGCAATAAATATATAGGTATAGTTACAAGGGCATAAATCTAATGGTGTCGATATAAAACTTGCTACGAAACTATTTGTACGAAATCTTATTGGGGCTTATACGGGATTTGAGTGATAATAGCATTAGTATCCATTTTTTTTAAAGTTTCGGTACCTCGTTTTAGTATTATCAAAATACGTTTTTAAAAAAATTATATATTACACATGACTTGTACTCCGATTTTTTGAGGAAATCTGAGAACAATGAAGGTAAAATTTAAAAGACATGATATGAATGCATTATACTTACACTGAGATGCACCTTGTGCTGTATTCTCCTATCATCATCCTCTCCAGAAATGGAACCGGTAGGGTTTTTTTCTTACCGGTACCAGTACTGGTAGAAACGGTCAGACCGAATCGGATCGGCCGGTATATCGACATCAATAATTCGTCGTTTCTCTAGACCTTGAACTGTGAAATCAACTCCTTAATTATTCATATCTGCACTCTAATCACAACAGTAATGAGATAACAGTCTTTTTTCGTGCTTTCGACTATTTATTTTTCATCAGTCTTTGTTCTCTCTTGGTGTCTATTGGTGAACCAAAAACTTCATAGGATTGCATGTTCTATATGAGCCCTTCGCACTCAATAATCGTTTTACAAACAAGGACGCTATAACTTAGTTGTATTTTAAATATGCTTCTCATGTAATAGTTACGTTGTTATCTTCTCTATCTGTGCGAAATGTATCCTATAAAAATTAGGGAAAATATAAGAAAACTTAATATAAATCACAAGGCTGAGCAACTATTCGATTTTTTTGTGATAATTTAACTCGATATGATGACTCTTTACTAAATAGAATAGTCTGATGCATTTTTTTCACAGAAATAATCTTCGAAATCAGTAAAACGTTTTTGATTTGTGAAAAAAACTACATTTTTATGCGTATTTTTTTCGTAATAAAAGCGCAAAAATTCAAAAAAATTCATACCGGCCGGTACAGGAAAGTGTTTTCTACCAGGCAGTAATAAATCCTCTACCGGACTGGAACGGACCAACCGTTTACCGCTACTAGTTATATCTCTGATCCTTCCCTTCTGACGTTTACCGAAAAGTGATAACATAATTTCGTACGCATTATAGCTAATAGAAGTTGCCCCCGTAAATTTTTAATGTCCGTCTAGTTAGTATTTAGTTGCTTCCATTCTGCTTTGTTTTTCAGTATCCAATAAAATTTGGGAAGAAAATTTAAAATGCGTGATCTACGATAGATTCGATACAAAATCTAAAAAGATTCTTCCCTTGCATTCGCAGGAAGAGCGTTTTAGACTTCGTAAAAAAACTTATTTCCAGAGTACAGTCGTTTCTTTAGTAAACATCGGATGATACAATCATCTTTTAACATGTTTCAACCAGACATTTTCGCGCTTTGAAATATCTTTCTTTATGGGAACAATAGCATTTTAAACAAAGAACAGAAGCATAAGAGCCAGGGAGAGCAGAGGCATACTTCTGTAATTCGTGTGCTTCTACAGGGTGCGTAAAAGTGTTTTCCAGTGGGGTAACTCTATGATTTTGAATAGTGCTACTAACAAATTTTACATCAAATGAAAGCGCGGAAAAAATGAAATATATATCGATATTAAATTGTAAGGGTTCTGACAATTTCTTTATATCAAGCACTACAAATCTCTGGAAATTTCGACAGTATAATTGTGATAGCGTATCGATAATGAGTTATTAGATAGGAAAAACGCTTTTTTCACAAAAATTAATAGAAGCATCATTGTTAGAATTATTTAGCATGATCCAGTTCACAAGATAGTATTATTCTTGTTCGTTTTGTTCCCTTTTTATCTTCTTCTCTTAAATATGAATGATGGTATCTCGTCGGAATAAAGAAACGATAGAACAGCTTTCACTTTTATCTTCTATAGACAACCTTGTCGTCCTGCAAGCACGTTTTGTTTCACTTATCGAATGATATTTTTCTCCCTACTGTTCTGTATTAGGAAACAAATTTTGAGCACGTGTGAAACACTATAAGATAGTTTCGTAGTTTATAAATTTCATAAACAAAAACAACTGATTGCTTTCGTTAATCAATTTAATTTAATTAACTGAAAATGGCTGGTACTTACGACACAGAACAGCGAAGAATCTTCGACAGAATCAAATGTATTGCTTTTCGTGAGGCTCGAGATGATGGTGCAACATTCATTAATCGACAGTGGATTGCAGAGAAAATTCATCATAGTACGGGATTTGTCACAGAGTGGTGGGAAAGGTCACATGATTATTGTTTTTCTGATTATTCCGCATGCGATAGTAAGCTTAAATTATCAGATGCAAGTCGAAACCTCATTCTCAATGCAAGTGGCAAGCAAAAAAGAAGTTCTTATGCTTTGGTGAAAGAAATTGCAGCAAAACACAAGGAATATGTTGTGCCAAAAACAGTTGACAATTATCGTCATAGAGAAGGATTCAAGGGGAAAACAGCTGACCTCAAGACTTCACGATACTTCAAGAGACTTCAAGCACAGAGACTTCAAATTTTTCAAAGACTTCTAAAGACTTCCGAAGACTTCCGAAGATTTTAAAAGATTTCAAAGGACTTCAAAAGGCTTCAAAAGGTTTTTGAGACTTCACAGGACTTCAGAAGACTTCAAGGGACTGCATGAGACTTCAATGATTTCAAGAAACTTCACAAGACTTCATGTGACTTCATAAGACTTCAAGAGACTTCAGAAGACTTTAGGAGACTTCAATAGACTTCGAGACTGTAGAAGTGTTTGAGAAGCTTTAGAAACCCCGTGAACGGAGGTGTGTCAAATTATGGACATCGCATCTCAAAATTCTCAACCTAATTTTATTATCTTGAGAATTAGCACTCCTTCCTGACTATTTTTCAGAAGTTTATTTTATATTTTATCACAATTCAATATATTATACCTGAGATACCTCTCAGGCATCAAAAGAAAAATTTTCCGCCGTTTTATTAGAAATTCTTATAGGTTGATAGAGTTAAGTGTGTTGGTTAGAAATATCACATTTTTTTTGAAAACTAGTCGAATAGAAAAAAAGATCTGAACTACTTTCTGAAAGTCCTAAAACATAATTTTCGTCCTGAAAGTCCATTAAAATCTTTTTTGGTTCTTTGAAAATAGTCTCATTCGATGCAAAAATTTTTTCTTCATTAGAATCTGTAAGAACGTTTTAGATATTAAAAACTTTTTCTATCGATAAATACCGAATACCAACCCGATCGGATCATATTGCTTCAACCACTGATTTTTTGCCTGTTAGAGGTTATCGTTTATACGAGTGCACCATCGAAATTTTTTTTGCCGAATACTTAATTTGATGTGTTCTTTTTGACTACCCGTTTACAACTTGAAACTTGATGTCTCGTAAAGCACTTTTCTCTGCTCACTATTCTTAAGACGCAATTTGTGTCATTTTTGACTGATATTCGACGACCACATTAATTCGCATTTGGCTTGAAACAAATATTAAATTTGAAATCAGTATAAAAAACTTAGTCGATCTATGTGTGTTTGAAATTTTTTCTGCAGCTTTTTAGGGTAAATTTTTTACTCTCTAGTCCCTCTCAGGGACAGGTAAAAAGATTAATGTACTCAAAAAACTATGTTGGTGATGTAAAGGAAGTTTTAAACTTATTAAATGTCGTTTGACGACAAAAAGACCCTTGAATAACCAATAAAACAGTTGTTTTGATTAGGCTTCTGTTTATATACCCCGGAGGGTGATTAGAGAGTAAAAAATTGACCCAGAAAAAAGCAGCAGAAAAAATTTCAAACACACATAGAACAACTAGGTTTTTTATGCGGATTTCAAATTTAATATCTGTTTGAGACTAAATGTGGAATAATCTATTCGAAAATTGTCGAAGATTAGTGAAAAATAACACAAATTGAGTCCGAAGAGTAGTATTGGAGCAAAAATGCTTTACTAGACAGCGAATTTTAAGTTGCAAATAGTTTCATTAGAGAGAGTACATTCAATCATATATTCGATAAAAAAATCTCGCTGATGCACTCATATAGACTATAACTCAAGGGGAAACAGCTGACTTCAATACTTCAATACTTCAAAGAACTTCACGAGACTTCATGAGACTTCATAAGACTTAAAGAGACTTCATGAGACTTCATAAGACTTAAAGAGACTTCATGAGACTTCATAAGACTTAAAGAGACTTCATGAGACTTCAGAAGACTTTAAATGACTTTCAAGACTTCATGGGACTTCACGATCTAAGTCTCTGCTGTTTTCCCCTTGGAAGGATTAAAGCCATTCCATGTTATCCCAAGACCTTTAAAGACCGAAACTCATATTTCAGGCAGGTTGTGGTTTTGTAATTAGTTAAAAGATTGGACTCAAGAGGACTTTCTTCATCTCGCACCATCGGATGAATTTTATGTTTGGACTGTTCGCAGAGCAAACTACCAGAATGATAGAGTTTGGACAAAAAGTATTGAAGATATTGAAGATGATGAAAGATATCGCGAAATAGTTAAAAACCAAGCGTGTATTGGTATTTTTATTATTTTCACTGCGAAATAGCTGCATTGGGTAATTAAAGATAAAGGTGAATTTTAGACCGGTCAATATTTTCGTGAGATCATTTTAATGCAACACGTATTTCCATTTCTCAAAGACGACGAAAATGTAATCGATTCGGATAATGTGGTATTTGTTCATGACAAAGTCCCATGTATGCGAGCAAATATGACTCAACATTTACTTCAAGACAACGATATAAATTTTTGGGGAAATGACACCTGGCCTGGAAATTCACCTGATTTGAATGTAGCTGAACATATTAGAACAGTAATTCAAAATGAAGTTGAACAAAAAGTGTTATCAGAAACGGAACATGATCGTTATAAAGAAGAAAAATTAAAAAAATACCTTTCATATGTTTTGACAAACATGGAATCAAACATTGAGTTATTTGAAACTCTCTTATGTTCTTATCCATCATGTCTTCGTGCGGTAAAAAATGCTAATGGACACCATACTGATTATTAATTTTATTCATCAAATCTGTAAAATAAATCTGTTTGATGTTACCGATCATTTTAGATGAGATTTAGTTTGAAATGCCTCAGGAAAGAAATTTTTTTATACTAAAATGGCGAAAATTTCTAGAGATTTGTAGTGTTTGATATAAAAAAAATTGTCAGAACCCTTACAATTTAATATCGATATATCTCATTTTTTCCTCGCTTTCATTTGGTGTAAAATTAGTTAGTAGCATTATTCAAAATCATAGAGTTACCCCCCTGGAAAAACATCTTTACGCGCCCTGTACTTCTCCATATGTAAGGGGGAGTGAACATATTTGTATGCCTTTCAGTATTTCTCATTACTTCCTCGCATTTCTTGATGCTTGGTGATACGGCATCAAACTTCTCGCGATTTTTCCATCTTTCTTGACGCTTCTCAACACCTGTCGATAATTGTTGGGACGTTTTGATACTTCTTGGCATCCCTTGATACTTTTGTACTTGTGTATTCGTCAGAGTACAGAAGTGTGTCTTTTTCTCCTTGATAAGAGTATATTTGTGGATAGTCAAACTTATAGTTTTGTTATTTGACAAAGTCACGAATTATTTCTTTCCTTGTAGATATTGAAGCAGACAAGTGGTAGCAATTATTGGACAAGTCGTACAGTGAAATATCAGAAATAATGGCATCAGATTTTACTGAAATTCCTATTATTGATTTTGGCCCCTTTATTAATGGTACTTTGAAAGAGAAAACTCAAATTGCAGAAGAAATCGGTCATGCTTGCCGTAACGTGGGCTTTTTTTATTTGAAAAATCATGGAATTCCGTCAGACGTAACACAAAATGCGTTCGATCAAGTACGACGATATTTTTCATTACCATTAGAAGAAAAAATGACACTACACGGCGGCGCAGCGGGAATGGATGTTCGAGGATATTTTCCGATGTTTGAAGAAAAATTAGATGAAAATACACCCGACAGAAGAGAGACGTTTTCTGTGGATATTGAGTTGCCTGCTGATGATGAATATAGAACTACAAAAGAAATAGATTGCTATAAACCCAACCTATGGCCCAAAAATTTACCAGGTGAGAACTGATAATTCAGAAAATTGTAACAAACATGACAAATATAGTTCGATTTTTTCAAGCTAATAAGCTCTTGAATACTACTTTTTTTAGGATTTCGCGAAGCTCTTTATGACGGATATTTCCAAGCAATTATGCAACTATCTCACCGTCTCATTCAAGCGTTCGCCTTGGCACTGCATTTACCCGAAGATCATTTTGCCCCAATTTTAGTGAAGCCGACGATCGAGTACTGTATTCTTCACTATCCACCACAACCAAAAAATGACAATTCAAATATCATAGGTATGATAAGGAAAAACTATCGAGCTGCCATAACAGTAACTTCCAAGCAGAGATGTTCGCGGGTTGACCCGTTTTCATTTAGCCTCTCCGGGCTGTGACCCGATCCTTGGTCCGCGGGCAGGTTGGATCTTCGACGGGTCACGAGTTTACGGGTGGAGTATTCTCACGATTTACGGGTTTCACGGCTCGATTTATATTTTTACGTGTACTCGCAGGTTCAACTCGGTTCAACCAGTTTACAAATTTTGCTTTTCATTCGGATAATGCCAAAGTTCTGCATTGATTTTGTTTCTGATATAGCACTGTGGTGAAATGTGATAAAAACTGTATTGGTTTTTTGTTAGAAAGAGTAAAGCGTCTAGTGAAAAAAATGCATCATAGAATTCGATTGTAAATTTCCGTCAAGCAGCAGAAAACCTTTTAAACAAAAGGATTCGGAAACTCTGCACGACCTGTTTTTTAACTTAGAAAACGTCATTGCATTCGAGTTGTACGAGATTGGTATATAGCCCTGTTGCTGTAAAAAATAAACTCTGCACATGTTTTATAACAGTCAAAATAAACACTTTTATTGCCTTTCGGCATCGTTACTTTTCACTTCTGTTGATCAAAATCGTAAAAACAAAGTATTTTGCGACAGAAAGATTGCCACAAGCTATAGATTTTATATCAAAAAGAAATCTTATGCAGTTCCTTGTCAAACTATATTACTTGGAACAAGATAGATATGCTCTATGAAAAGTATTAAGCCAAAAATTATTTTACTTTGAAATTCTAAATCGATCAAATTAAATTTTAAATGACATTATCTTCTATACATTACATCCTCTTGCATACCAGACCGATTATTTATTTACCATATGAAAACCTTTACTATAATGCACTGCTGTATACATAACGTGTTTTAGAATACCGACAGTGGATAATGAAGCAGCTCAAAGAAATATATTCTAAAAAAAAATATTATCAGCTAATTTTCAGAAGATTTTTCTGCTGTTTTTATTGAAGAAATTGTCTAGTCTTTGAAAAAAATTCGAACTAAATCCTTGTATGTAATTTTAAAATAGATGCTATGGCTTTTCTAACAAGGAAAACAAAGAAGACCACGACATTCTATCAGAGCCCTGTATAAAAAAAAATATAGAACTTTTACATCATCTGTCCTAAATGCGATTATCTCTTAAGTTTTGGTTACACACTATGGAGGGCTATATAGATACATAAAACTAACGGTGTCATTTCAGATGATGCGTTGATGCAGCAACCTTTGATCTCTTGGATAAGATGACCTTAGGTGTGGGTGTGGGTTTGATAATCTTACATCTATAACCACGATTACACTCATACTAACGCCCACAGCCATAAACTTTTGGGTAATAACCAGTCACTCAACAAAAACATCAGATTTCTTTTCCGGAACTTACTTTAAAATCGTCTGTCATTTATAGCTACCAAAGCAGCTCCATGTCAGTCATCGGCGCCTCTTCAGGACGCTACTCCCGACTCCTCGCTCTGATATAGTGCTCGTTTGTATCTGTAAATAACGCCATTACAGCACACTACCGAAGTCTAGGCTTTAGATTCTGACTACAGTCTCAAATGTTATGCGTCGCATAATGTGGAATTTTGTGGCAAATAGTGCCCCTTCTTGCAATACATTTGACTTTTGCGATATAATCACTGGCATATGAGCTGTTTACGCACAAATCCATATTATGCAGCGCTAAAAAGTTCAGAGTATTTAATTCAGTTTTAACCTTAGGAAGTTAGAAACTACTTTTCTATTTTCTTCAAAAACTAATCTAGAACACTACACCAGCTAAAGGAAAAAAATTATCGGTCCTGTTAGGATCCGTACTCTCTTTATTTAAAATAATATATCGAGAACCTAAACCTTAAATCATCATCTATAACATATCACCACTACTCACTATAGAAAAACGCAATCACAAAAACTAACTACTGTCCGCGCCAGAATGAAAGAGGGGTGGGTGTAAGCGCAATAACTCGATAACGGCAGCAGCTAGCGACCTGCGGTTTTCATCAATTGAAAGAGGAGAAGTTGGGATGTCTTTTTCTCCGATAAAGTATAAGACGAAACCCTTTTAAAACTAATCATCTTCGAAAAACATGCAAAAGAAGGTATGAAAATGACCTGCCATCTAGATGAAATTTCGATTTTGACCTTCAATTTAGATAGAGGGACTTGAGTTCTATAGTTCAAGATACAATGCAAATGGTTATCTTCTTACATTCTAACGTTGAGAAAATGGAAACATGTATTTACATGCACAAATAATAGGGAATTTTGCTGATTTTTTACGAAGTTTTTCAACTTTTTGTCATAATAGCTTGACATTTCGATGAAAATGTAATGAAAAGTAAGAAAGCGCATTGTATCTTGAACTATAGAACTCAAGTCCCTCTATCTAAATTGAAGGTCAAAATCGAAATTTCATCTAGATGGCAGGTCATTTTCATACCTTCTTTTGCATGTTTTTCGAAGATGATTAGTTTTA